ATTCTATAATAATGCATTTATATTAATAGAAGGAAAATATTTCAAATCAGCAAAATGCAAATTTTATATTTGTAAGTATTTTATTATATGATTTCCATTACTTTAATATTTTTTATAATTACAATACTTTAATGCCTACAAATTTTAAATAAAAGTTTATATTTTATCTATATTTTTAAAAGCTTAATATATGTCAAACGGCAAAAAGATATTTTCCTTGCGTAATAAAGTATACAATTTCGTTTGATAGTACAATTTATTTTTTATTTTATAAAATAATGTTTCATGTGCCTTAATGAAACTTACAACTGCGGTTTCATGGAACAAATAATCTTAAAACATTTCAACATCAGTCCACCTACTCATATTACAGCTGACTCGAGGACAGCATATATTATGATTAGTATAACCGATGTGTCGTCTGTGAAGTTAGTATCTATATCTGTATGACATCTAGAACTTATCTGTAGTGGTGCCTACACCGTTAGTGCATGGTTCATACTTGCATCTGTCTCTCAGAAGTGTGAATTGTTGACACAATATAATTTGTATATAGTTCTCAATATTTTTAATTAATGACGATTACCAAAAAACGTGTTTTTGTCATAACACGTTAACGATATGTTATTTAACATTTAAAAACTACTTATATGTTTGTTAAACATAAAACTTTAAGTTTTGATCTCATTTTATCATTTACCACGTATACAAGAGTGTGTATACAATATACGAGACCAAAACTATAGAACAGTATGTCAAACGAAATTGTTGATGTTCCAAATAAACGAATAATGACGGTATGTATAAATAAAAAAAGTTTTTTTACTGATTTGTTTCATATGTCCAATATTGAATTTAGTTAAATATTTGAAATTAAAATATTATTAAAATTTATTAAAATAAAAATTGATATAGACACTATGTGTCTATGTATATGCAAATTATATTGTTTCTATAAATGTACTGTGCATTTAAATTTTTTTTGACTTTTTATTTAAAATGTTTATTACAGAATATTTTTATTTAAATTTAAGACTGGAGAATGTACTATAACTTTATCACATATGTGTATTATATCTGGCTCATACCAATAAAATAATTAAAATAGGAATATTCTTTTTTCATGTAAAATAGAATGACTTTTTGAAAATTTGAATGACTTTTTGTACTTGTATACTACTAGTTGTTTCAAATTTTACAAAACTTATGAAAGAAACTAAAACGGTATATTATTCATTTAGTAAATATATAAATAACTCAATAATAAGTTTTTTTTTCAATTTAATACTATTACATTATTATTATATATCATTTTATGCATTAGTAGTTGATGAATAAAAAAAAATGTATGGTACTTGTTGCATCCATATATCTTCAAGAAATTAAAAAAGGATTATAATATGTTATAATATAATAGTAATTTTTTGCAGACATGCGCCAATGTATCAGAGCAAGCACATCATGTATCAAGAGCTAAACGTGGACAAGCGGTAGGAAGTGTCAGAGGCTTCCGTGGATGTACAGTTTGGTTAACAGGTCTTTCCGGTGCAGGGAAAACTTCTATAGCATTTCAAGTTGAAGCTATTTTAGTTAATCATGGAATCGCAGCTTATGGACTTGATGGAGATAACGTAAGAAGTGGTTTAAACTGTAATCTTGGCTTTAGCAAGGAAGATAGAAAAGAAAATATAAGAAGAGTTGCAGAAGTAGCTAAATTGTTCGCTGATAGTGGTCAGATTTGTTTATGTAGTTTTGTGTCACCTTTTGAAGAAGATAGACAAATGGCAAGACAGATTCATAAAATGTCAGATCTTCTCTTTTTTGAAGTTTTTGTTGATACACCTCTTAACGTATGCGAAGCTAGGGACACAAAAGGATTATACAAAAAGGCACGTCAAGGAGCTATTAAAGGTTTCACTGGAATAGATCAAATGTATGAGAGACCATTAAATCCTGATTTAATAGTAACCACTGTAAATTGTACCCCTGAAGAATCAGCTGCAACAGTCATTGATTTCTTGGAGAAACAATATATTATTCCGCAACTTCAAACTGCGATACCTGTACGGGAGTTATTCGTTCCAGAATCACGAGTAGCATCTGTTAAAGCAGAAGCTTCTATACTTCAAAGTTTAGAAATTAATAAAATAGATTTGCAATGGCTCCAAGTCTTAGCAGAAGGTTGGGCTGCACCTCTCACAGGATTTATGAGAGAAGACCAATACCTTCAGGTATGTACAAAACAGTAATATAAAATTTGTAACAATAATATGTGCAATTCTTACAGAAAACTTAACTGTATTATTATTATTACTATTATTGTTAGTTTTATTATATATATATATAAAAAGCTTAAATAATGCTTTCAGGCACAGCATTTAAAATGTTTTACATACGATGATAAGGAAATTAATCAATCTATCCCAATAGTCCTTGCAATAAGTACAGAGGACAAAGAACGATTGGATGGACTGTCAGCTTTTACACTGAAATATAAAAATAAGGCTATTGGAATATTACGTAGACCAGAATTTTATTTTCACAGAAAAGAAGAGAGATGTGGATGGCAATTTGGTACTAACAACATAGGTCACCCGTATGTTAAAATCATTTATGAATCTGGAGATTGGTTGGTAGGAGGTGACATAGAAGTCTTTAAACGAATTAGATGGCACGACGGTTTGGATAAATATAGGCTTACGCCAAATGAAATTAGGGCAAAATGTAAAAAAATGAAAGCTGATGCTGTATTTGCATTTCAACTTCGAAATCCTATACATAACGGCCATGCATTATTAATGCAAGTATGTTGATTTGCTAGTTTATAGTTTGTTGCACGTCTTCATAATAAATTTTTATATGTAGTTGTTTCAATTTTATACTTGTAGGACACGAAAAAACGATTACTAGAGGAAAGAGGATTCAAAAATCCTGTATTACTTTTACATCCATTGGGTGGATGGACTAAAGATGACGATGTGCCATTGCACACAAGAATTCTTCAACATGAAGCCATTCTTGGTGAAGAGGTATTAGATAATAATTCTACATTATTAGCAATTTTTCCAAGTCCAATGATGTATGCTGGACCAGTTGAGGTAAAATTATGTCTATATACTTATGATGATTTTAGTTATGTTATGAGTATTAAAATAATATTGTTTTCATTACTTCTCAATTTGGTTTTATTCATTTTATATTAGGTACAATGGCATGCAAAGGCCAGAATGATTGCAGGTGCAAATTTTTACATTGTTGGAAGAGATCCAGCTGGTATACCACATCCTGATAAAAGTTCAATTCCTGATGGAAATCTTTATGACCCAACTCATGGAGCTCGAGTTCTTTCAATAGCTCGAGGTTTACAAAATTTAGAAATAATACCATTCAAAGTTGCAGCATATGATATAAAACATAAAAAAATGTCTTTCTTTGATCCAACACGAAAAGAAGACTTCGAATTTATATCAGGGACAAAAATGCGTGGTACGTTTACATATATGTTAAAGACTTATTTTAAAATTTTCATTTATTACATCGTAAGTAAAATAATATTTACTATCATCTTTATTGAACATACATAAAGTAAAATAGTTTAATATTTATTATTGTATCGTTGTATATAATGTTTCTTTCCAGGGTTAGCAAAAGCAGGTGAAAATCCACCTGATGGATTTATGTCACCCAAAGCATGGCTTGTTCTGGCACAATATTATCAAAATTTAGAAAAATAACGAGTTATTAGAAGAATATTAGAAAAATATTAAACACTTTAATGAACACATTCAACAGAATAAAATTAATTTTATAACTGTTGTATTAAAATTGCTACACCTTTGTATATTTGTACATTATTCGTGTATAGCACAGTGATTTCTATATTTATCTCTGCATTAGATAAAAGTATCTATACACTCATTGTACAATGTATCCGTTAATTTTATTTTATATATAAATACAAAATCTAATTATATTTTCCATACATATTTTATATGAATATACATAGCATCGATATAAGATACATATTATTGCATATACATTTTAAAAATGTATATTTTCTTATTATCTATAATCATGTATGAGTTTTATGTATAGTCAACAAGTTTTTGTATGTACAGCAAAGATATTGAAACTTTATAGACTATCAAATAGAAAAATTTGATATTCCAATTTCATTTTATTGCCACAATAAAATACAGCTGTTTTACAGATGAAAAATTTAATAATACGAAAAAATAAATAAAAATTAAAATATTAAATTGCGCTGAGAGGA